ACAATAATTCTTTAAATACCTATGAGTTTTAATTGGATTTTCTAAGATTTATTATGACGAAGACACACACACTTCGAAAACTGGTTACTGTGATAGTTACATAAATGATGTGGGAATCAGATGAAATTTGATCATACACTGTCACTAATCATTCATTCATCAAATAAGGCTTGTAATATGAACAATCCTACATAGTTAACATTTTAAGACTTATGTAAGAAGTTTCACTGTATCATAAATTTATGGTTTTCTTCAATTGTTCGATTGATATTAGCTTAGTATTGTGAATAGCTTTTCAAATGAAATTTCGTTTCATAGTAAACATGGTTGTAAAGACTGTTTTAATTTCCGAGACCAAATAAATGTCATTTGAGGTAATTCAATATAGTATCAAAAGATGATTTTATGTATTAAAGACCTGATTGAGGTTTTATGTTGAGATCATTGGAATTTTGTCTAATTGTTCATGAATAGCCGGCTGGCCTCTTAACTTGTTTCACTCAATAGTCAGTGTATAAGTCTACAGTGCTGATAACTTAATAATATCAGAAGGGGTTTTGTGGAGATTTAGTATTTTCATAGTTGAAAGCGTGAATCAATTGAAACTAGACCACCGAGGAAAAACTGGAAGCACTGAACGGCCGTTTCGTCCTATTGTGGGACTCCTCAGCAGTGCGCATCCACGACGTTCTAGTGAGTTCTAGTGAGAAGCAGTGACCAGTAGAGTTAAAACCACGTCTGTTGTGAGATATCAACTCACTGAAGACATTTGGTGAACGGTTGCTCAACTTCGTGGATTGGTTGGAGTTAGACATAAACAACATCGGATGCCGACTCAGTGGTTTATCGGTTAAGTGCTCTGGAGCGAGACTGGTAGGTCCTGGGTTCGGATCTCATGAAGCGAGGTTGTGGATGTGCGCTGCTGAGGAACCCCACAATAGAACGAAATGACTGTCGAGTGCTTCCAGGTTTTCTATGGTGGTCTAGCTTCAATTGACTCACGCTTTCAACTTAATAATAGTCTAAATGTGATAAACATGACTTCATAACCAAATTTATGTTCATGTGTATTAGGTCCAAAGTAAAGGTTAGGGATAATAACTACATACACAGAAAAAGGAATTATAAATCGATTTGAACTTGTAATTTATTGAGTTCAACACTTGACCGTAACTTCATTTAATGCAAAGATGGAGAAAAAATTATTCCACAATTCCTGCCTGCTAAATTTTTCCATTTGAAACTAGCTTATTAAATGAATTATTCTAAAGTCAATAAGAATTGTATTCAGGAAATAAGTGTTATGAACATGAATATGCTATGATTTTGCTATACAAAGATGACTTCAACAATATTTTCGAAATTTTTGTAATATTTTCAATAGTCAAGTGTGGTAAAATATTTGAAGGTGACAAGAATTTAGAGAATAGAGTTATAGTCTTTCCTTTGTTTTTCTGTAATTAAATATCTTTACTTGAAATGGTATTAAGTATAATTGATATGTATTGTACTAAATAGATAAGTACTTTAGCAGACAATGAAAACGGCGTTTTTCTATAAACACACAAGTTGGCAATCAATTTACTAAGTACTTTATTGGCAAACTCATTATTATGTTATGAGTTCGCTTTAAGAATATCTTCCAGTAGTGTGATATCTCGGTTGGGAAATGAATAGGTACCTATATATTTTTCTGATTACAACACGGGCGACATATCATCCACCATGAAAATTATATTCTGTAGTAGTCAATCGATTTTGTTTTGGATTATTCTTTACATTTTTAACAATATTTATGGATTACACTACTAATTATCTTTTAGATATTGGTACTCTTTTACAACCTTACTTTTACTTACTTGCACCTGTTACTCCCAATGGAGAATAGGCCTGCCGACCAGCATTCTCCAACCAACTCTGTCCTCAGCCTTCCTTTCTACTTCTTACCAACTTTTGTTCATTCTTCTTATGTCTGTCTCCATTTCTTGACGTAATGTGTTCTTTGGTCTTCCTCTTCTACTTTGACCTTCAGGATTCCATGTGAGAGCTTGTCTTGTGACACAATTAGGTGATTTCCTCATTGTGTGCCCAATCCACTTCCAGCGCTTCTTCCTGATTTCTTCCTCCGCTGGAATCTGGTTTGTTGTCTCCCACAGTAACTTCTTGCTGATAGTGTCTGACCAACGGATCGGAAGTATTTTGCCGTAGACAACTATTACTGGACACCTGTATCTTATGGATGATGGCTTTTGTAGTTTTCTACGTCTCCGCCCCATACAGCAGGACTGTCTTGACATTTGTATTGAAAATTCTAACCTTGGTGTTGGTTGACAATTGTTTTGAGCTCCAGATGTTTTTCAGTTGTAAATATGCTGCTCTTGCTTTGCCAATCCTCGCCCTCACATCTGCATCTGATCCACCGTGTTCATCAATGATGCTGTCCAGATATATAAAGGTTTCCACATCCTCCAAAGCTTCTCCGTCAAGTGTAATTTGATTGGTGCATGTTGCATTGTATCGGAGAGTCTTGCTTTTCCCTTTGTTTATATTAAGACCTACTGCTGCTGAAGCTACCGCCTGTAGCTACTCTCGGGGCTACTACCGGTCCCAAGCCCGGGTAAAGGAGGAGGGTTGGGCATAGGGTTAGCGACCACATCCTGTAGAAAACCAACTCGCTAAAAAAACGCTAACCAGAAAGCCGAGTTCCCTTTACAACCTAGAAAATTATAGAACAGCTAGTGTTAATTTACAGAATAATTTATCAGAGCTAATTGCCTGAGATATTACGTTTGTGAGGAACTTTTCCTTTCCAGTTTATTTAACGCCTTTATTTTACAAAAGTCAATTGACATTGCTGTCTCTATTGTATCATTTTGTGATTAGAGGTAACAGCTTTATACTAACTTTTACAGTTAATTTAACCTCTTCTGATATAGTCTAGTGATCATATATCTTACGGAGCGTTTATTAAATACCGATATTGTCGAGCAAATTACTCGATACATACAATAAATAAGTTTAATCTGTGACTTCGAGTTTTCACAGGCAATAAGCTGTCACTGAGCTACTTGCTTGATATTCTATTTCCATAGTTCAGTTTCAATTATTCTCATGAAGCATTTAGTGATAAGAAGCAATTGTTCAAAATTATATTGTATATAGGGATAGGGAAGAAAAATTAACTGGATATTTTAAAGACCGCATAGATGATTCATTTAAGACTAATATCCGTGTGAAAAAAACGTTAAAGTGAAATTGAGACAAATAATGAAAATAATAAAGTACCTCTGGCCTATAATATCCTGATATAGAGAATAATTACTTGATTTATGAGGGTTTATGCATACTGGTTAGCGATATTAAGGACTGGAATTGATCACTTTCTGTTGGGATGTGTGCATTCTAAGTAGATCGCTTATTTATTGTTATTAAATGACAGGTCTTGTTTAAAGTTGAGTTATGAATCCAAAACTCATTTTCATCCTATTTGGGAATCGTCAGCTTAGTGTACCTGTTTACCAGTGCTGATGCTCACGTCAATATTCGAAACCAGCACCTTTCACTTTGAACGGTATAGCATTATTTACTGATCTTCTAATTCTAGGAAGCCACTAACTTATTCAATGGGTAAAACTTTGACTTGTAAGGGTTTTTGTTTTTCCGTTGTTAATGTTAAAGAGAATGATTATTATTGTAACTCAGCGGTAAGTAATGACCACTGTAGATACAAATTATGAATTATGTTTGTTTTTAATGATCCTATAACTAGTAAACAAAGATGTCTCAACCTTAAAGACTTCAATGACTCCCCTCAAATGATAACCAATACTGATCTTTTGTTGATCTGATGCTTCCTACGCCCTAAATAAAAAAAATACTGGCTATTTTTTTCTGGATTTGTTAGATTCAACATCTAGTCAATTTGGAAATACTCGGAAGTTCGCTAGTGAATTTGACTAGACTCTACATCTTGGAAGTAATTTAATTAATAGATACTCATAGAAGTGATTGGGCTTGGAAGCCTATTCTCTACTTGAATGGGCATTAAAAATCCTACGGATACCCTGTTAGTTAGGTTAAGTCTCTTCCCAACAGCTAATTATCTTCATTAATTCTTATAATTTAGCCTTAGGTTAATTTATGTATTGTCTAACCTGCTATTAGTATCATTATTATAGAAGTTCTTGATGTTATTATTATTATTTTTACTGTCATATTTGACTTTATTTTTTATGGAGAAAAGAGAACGTGGCACCAGCATATAAATACTTTATTTGCTAATTTTTATCCTTTTCATAATTCCCCTTTTCTTTTTGAAGATGATACCAGGGCACCCTTTTCATAACATTATTTAACTATCTAAGAGATTTAATAAAGTAAAAAGTGGGTATGAGTGGATTATATATATATATATATTTGCATGCATACTTGGAGAGAGAAAGGAAGGGGTTGCCGTTTGTCAAAATTGTTTATAACGTCTCATTTTTCTAATTTTTCAGCATAATCTTGATCATATGATGTTTGTTTATATTTACAGGTCAGATGCACGTGGTTACAGAGTTCAAGCCTTTCGTTATATGCATATAAATATGTACCGGGGGGTGGACGGGAGACGGGAGAGAGACTATATGCATATATCTATTGGGTTACAAGCAAATGAATAGTGTTAGAAGATTAAAAAATGAAAAAAGTGGGGTGAGGGAAAAAAAACAACATGTAGCTAATCTATTCCCTGATTAATGAAAGTTTTATACACAGAATCAGAAGAAAAATATGTAGTGCTTAAAGAAAAGCTAGATAGCTAGTGAACCAGCATCTTCACTTAAAACAGAATAAGAAATTGGGTATGAATTATAAATGAAACATAAAAGTCAGAGTATTTTTGTCTACTCTTAATTTCATAATAATAATAACAATAATAGTAATTATTAGTATACCAGTGTTTCCTAAACCCCAGCAACTAAGATTTGAATAAAAAAAGAAGTAAGATGTGTACTCGTGTCAATTTAATCTTTTTATGGGATTGGTAGATTCATATGTAGGGGAATGAAACCAGTTGAAAGTGATGAGTAGGAAAATATATAAATAGGCTTAAATCTAGTGAATATTTACCTTTTTTCTTTAAAAAAAGAGCGAAAACTTTGTGTTCGAAAGTTTAAATCCACTTTGTAATACTTTGTTTTCAAACTATTAAACTATTACACGAGAAGTTGACAATATATCTATCTATCTATCTATATCGGTGATTCAATTACAACACAGATCACCAAGTGTTAAATAGTCAGTTTAACCAAACATCTTGCCAAATTCAACTTTTTAAGTAAGTTACATATTGATATAAATGTTTTGATTGATTCATTATGACTTTTACTTTCGCATTACTATTTGATGTTAAATTTTTATGGTAAACATTTTAGATTGATCCATAGGGTACAAGCTTCATACTATTGAGTTCTATCTGATTAATATTGATTAAAAAAAAAGAAAAACTAGTAAATGTTATTTGTGTGCTATGTATGATTTCATATCGCATAACTTACTTACGTCTGTTACTTCCAATGGAGCATAGTCCGCTGATCAGCATTCTCCAATCAACTCTGTCCTGAGCCCTCCTTTCTAGTTCTATCCAATTTTTGTTCATTCTTCTCATGTCTATCTCTATTTCTCGGCGTAATGTGTTTTTTGGTTTTCCTCTTCTCCTTTGGCCTTCTCGCTAAAAAAAACGCTAACTAGGAAAAAAATTATTCAGATAGTATAAGCTATAGTATTATAAGTTGTATTTTAGTAATAGACCAGTTTCCATGTTACATTTCATGCTAACCGAGTTCACAATCTCTACTCAGTTAGGTAGTTTTTCCTTTTTATTTGGTTCTGAAATATTGTATATGTGATTTGTAGTATCGGAAGAAAACTGGACATGATAGTAGAAGTGTGATATTATGAGCAGTAAGATTTTGTACTATTTCATAAGGTTATTCTGCTGTTACGATTTTTTTTCTGATGGATATATCTGTGTGCATAGTGATAGAAACTAGGTGCTTTCACTTTCCTTTTAGACTTTTTGATTCACTTATTATTTTACATTTTTTCTCTGAAGAGAGGGAAAGATGAAATGATTATAGGAAAAAATTTAATGAATATCTTTATTGATTAGATCATGTATAGAAAAGTTATTGAAGAACATTAGTGTTAATGAATTTCTATTACAGAACCTACTAAAGTTTCATCGATACTCTTAGCTATAAGTATCTTAACGAGATGAATTGATTTTTAATTCATTTAATAAAACCTCACTTTTGAGTTAATCTACTAACCATATGGTTTATTTAATGCAATAGATTATATATATTCAGAATGAAGAAATGCCTACATAGTATTTCTATTTACTTGTAATTCATTTGTAATAGATTAGATTGATGTTAAGGTGAACAATCTAAAGATTTTATAAATGCTAATCTTAAGTTCACTATAAGCTAAGTAAAATCTTCCTCACAAATTATAAAAGAAACAACACGCTATTTTAGAATGTTGGTTTTTTTTTTATAATCGTAATTTAGACATGTTATTATAATTCATCTTTTACTGTTGAAGGAACTGTAGCTTATTGGCTTAAATTGTTGACACTCAATCATTAGAGTGTAATTCCAAACTTAGCTTCATCTACATCGACAAGAAAAGCTATGTAGTATAATCAATTGATATGAAAATCTGTAACTAATAACGGAGCATATATCACTATACTCGGTGAATTAATTATATTAATTATGTAGTAAATAATGTTTCTTATTTGTCCAATTTCGGCACAAAGAAGGACTTGGCACACATGATATTGATCACTACCCAATGATCTCTGACTGCGAAGCTGGGTGACACGGAATTGAATCCGTTAGGGAGCACCAGTTCCCTCAAGATTACAGGTACACCTTACTGACGAGTGCCAAGTAACACGAAACCCAGGTCCAAGGTTTCCTGTTTACTACTTCCAGCCACCATCTTATCTTTCATAGTGCACGCAGTATCAATTCACCTAGACTAGTGATCATATTACAAGTCGATCGATAGCATTCGATCTGCACTAAGAAGGACTTGACACACATGGTATTGATCACCACCCAGTGATCAATCAATTGTAAGTAATCTTAGTTCATTATCCCTTGTTAATAGTTCTTTTTTTGGGAGTGTGAGATTACATTATGATTAATTTTGTAGTGATAGGAATTTAAACAAATCATTGATAGATATTTTCGAATAACATCTAGGGTAGTTCATTAATGTATTTGTTGATTATGTATTCAAAACTATATGAAGAATAGTTATGATAATAATGAATGCAATCTTGTTCTTTTTTTGTTTTGTTTTTAGAAACATCTAATAAAAAAAAGGATTAAAATGGAAAGTTATTCAGAAGATGAAAGAAATTTTCAAACTCCTGAATATCTAAAACCTAGATTCAATGGTTTAGAAGGAAAATACATTCATTCTACACCATTATCTCAATCTAATCCTTATTCAGTATTTCATCCAATCTCATTAGGTTTTACAGGATATAAAGATATATTAACCAGTGAAAAAACAACACCACTTTATATTCCATTATCAGATGAAGGATATTCATCAGTTGGATCTAGTTCAACACCAACTGATTTCTCAAATAATTTACCTACATCTGAAATAATAAATCAATATAAAGATTATAGACCTATTGAATGTATTCATAATTCTATAAATCAAAGAGAAAAATTAGAAATTGTTGCATTAGAATTATTAAATCAAGCTCGTCTAATTACAAATTATTCATGTAATGGACATTTACATAATAGAAATATTTTAAGAATGAATGAAGAGAATAATAAACCTCCAACATCATTATCATCATCGTCATCTTTTAAAGAATATAATGATAATTATCATCCATCATCCCAATCGAATTTAAGATTTGGACATTATAATTATCCATTTAATATGAATCAAACTAATGAATGTATGAATTTAAGTCAACAATATCAAAACAATGATCCATTGAATGGTTCCAGATCATTTGAAAAGATTACTAAAATTATGAATAATAATAATAATAATGATAATATAGATACTATTCAATCATCTAATAATCATAATCAAATATGTAAACAAATTCTTAAACAAGTACGTCAAGAAATGATTCGACTTATTGATAATAGTATGCATCAATTAGAAACTTATTTACATAATCATCATTTGAATGATTGGTATTATTCATCAATGAAATCTATACAATCAAATGATATACAAGATTGTAATATGACACCGCTTAATTTAAAATTTACCAAAAATATAGAATTGGAAAATCTTCACAATAATAATAAATCTAACCAGAATCAATCAACTGAAGAACAGTTGGTTTCTACTGCTGTTATTGTATCATCTGAACAAAAATCGATTGATTCAAAGTGTACAATCCCGATATCAACAGAATCATCCAATTATTCAACAAGATCAAAACCATTACGTTATAATCATAATAAAACACGTCGATTAAGAATTCATCAATTCAATAGTCAATTATTTGTTGATAGGAATCAAATAAAGAAGATAAATAGATTATCACCAAGTTGTAATAAACGTCAGTTAAATGATGGTGTAGAAGAGCCTCAAAATAAAATTCCTCATTTAAATGAATCATTAGATTTAAGAATTTATCAAAATGATCATAAAGATAATAATAATAGTAATAAAACGGAACAAATCATTTCATTAGATAATCATTCAAGTCATTGTTCTCAAACACGTTTGAAAAGATCAATAATTAATAGCCAAACCAAAGTAAGTCAATAGAAAATTGTTATTTTATAATCTATACTATAAACTAAACAGTCATTAGGAACCAGAAAGAGGGGGAGAGGTCTTGGATGCGCACTGCTGAGAAGTCCCACAATAGGACGAAACGGCCATCCATTGCTTTCAGGTTTTCCTTGGTGGTCTAGCTTCAATTTACACACACTTTCAATTATGAAAAATACTCAATCTCCACAAAAACCCCTTCTGATTATAACCAGGAAAGACTTGATAAGTTTTTTTTAATCATATTTTGAGATTCACCAGCTCTGTACGTCCACAATCTTGTCAAGGATAGAAATTAAGACCTTCAGGCTTTAGAATGAGTTAATCAAATAGTTATGCATGTATATAATGGGATTTTGATAGCTCGTAGAAGATTCTCAAATCAAACTGAAACCGCTGAATATCGAATAGGTGATACACATTTTAGATTATTTCAAATACATAGTAATTATTGATAGATTTTGGACATATTAAGAAGAGCAAGATATCCGGAATAGTATGAATTTCTTGTAACTCACCTTATATTATTTTAGTTACAAGCACACCATTTAGTTCGATAAAACTAAAAAAACTTCATCAATCTTGTTTCATTTAAATAGAATCAAAGTAAATATGATAAACATATTCTTTTCTTCTTTAGACAACAACATTGAGTGCAGCTCATCTAAAAAAAGCTAAAATGATGTTCATGTATTCTCGTTATCCAACATCAAGTCTACTGAAATCATATTTTCCAGAAGTTTGTTTTAATCGTGGATCTACTGCACAATTAGTAAAATGGTTTAGTAATTTCCGGTAAGCTTTTATACAAAAAATGTCTTAATCATAAATATCTATACATGAATGCACAACAACTCCGATTGTACAATGTTCATATCATCGAATTCACTATTCTCTAACATCAGTTGGAGGATGGAGAAAAAAAAGAGGAAAGAACAAGATGAGTCGAACATAGTGAAATCGGTCTGCACAAAAGGGGTGAGATTTATCGTTCCTCAAGTTGCATGTATAAATGTTATGTTCATATTTTGCTTTCATATGTGTCGCTTTGTGTATGCTATTTTGTGAGTTGTTTAAATGTTAACTATTAATTCAGCATGTGTTTTATATATGAAGATACGATGATGAATACTTGTGTACTAGTTAAAATGTTATGCAGTTTACTTTTTATTTTTCTATAATTATATGTAGTAGGAATGCGAAAGAATTAACATGCATATAGTAGATAATATGAGTTTTTATACCACAATATTTGAATGTAATACAACTCAACTGGAAACACATATAAATAACTTTCATCATTTTGGCTTAGTGAGTGAATTGGTAATACACTATGCCCTATGGATTCCTTTCAATTTAGAAAGCTTATAGTTTAAGTTAGTGAAGAAAGTTCTAACTAGAGAAGATGGACATTTCAGTAGCTTTATATCACCAAACATAACGATGTGTCTAAGATTTTTTATAGGACCACTTTAACATATATTTATCACTATAAAGTACTATACTTTGTAAATTAACCAAATAATAATTTAATCATCCAAATCATTAATCTGTCTTCCTTCCTCCTCCTCCTCATTATTTTATGTGTAGAGAGTTTTTTTACATACAGATTGAAAAATTTGTTCGTCAACAAAAGGCAACTGGTTTAAAGAAAGCAGATGATATTAGACTGTCACGTGAACATGAATTAATACGTAGCATGGAAACACATTTTAATAAAGGTGATGAAATTGAAGTAAGTTTCAAAATCATTACATGGTACTAACTGTTAATATTATCTTGTATGAATATCATAATACCCTACCCTTGTAGTTTTGTAAACAATTAATTTACTGAAGTATCCTATCTAAGAATTGAATGTAGTCAGATATTAAACAGCTATTTCGTTTGTGTAACATTTTCTAATATAAATACTGTAATTATTTGTAAGATGAAATGATACATCCCCATTCATTTACGAATCATATCTTTTTAAGAGTATAAGATATACTTCTGTCCGCTTGGCTGCTAATTTTATTGTCTCATTTATAAACTAAAGTACAATTACATAACATTTATTAAAGTATTGACTATTCTTCTTTTTATTATTATTGTTACAGACTCCGAAAGAATTTCTTGAAGCTATCCAAATTACAGTATGGGAATTTGCTGATACAATTTTAAATGAACGTGATGTGAATTCATCATGGAAAAAAACGATATATAAAAAGATTTCTATATTAGATATACAATTTCCAGAATTTTTTAGATGTTAATTGTATTTGTTTATTCGTGGATTGGTTGGAGTTAGACATAAACACCATCGGATGCCGGCTCAGTGGTCTATCGGTTAAGTGCTCTGGCGCTAGACTGGTAGGTCCTGGGTTGGAATCTCGCGAAGCGAGGTCGTGGATGCTCAATGTCGAGGAGTCCTACAATAGGACGTCTAGTACTTCTAGGTTTTCCATGGTGGTCTAGCTTCAATTGACTCACGCTTTCAACCATTTGTTTATTATTTAGATATGATAGTCTATTTATATGTAAGAACATTTTCTAAACTTCTAATCTATTCTTTCATTGCTTATTATTATTTTCTTCCCCATAAAATCCTGTACATTCCCATATATCTTTTTATATTTAAGTAGTATAATTTTCTTCTTTATTAATTTACTTATTTAGTTCATTGTAGACATAGAATTATAGTATAATATATAATTATAATACCAAATATTACTATTATTGTATACATTACAAACAATATAATAATAATAATTATTATTATTACTGCATACTCGAAATCTTTTTTTTTTTTAAAAATGTTGTTATGTGTTATTATCGTAGTGTATTCTAGGGAACGAACTAACTAGATCTTACACGAATAAAGTACCAAATGAAAGTACATTTAGTGTTACTTTTATTGATTATTAAAATTACTTACCGAATTGTTACAGATATTATTGTTGTAGTTATTATTATGAATCAATAGTCAAAACTTAAAAAATTCTATAAAAGTCATTTAGTTTAAATTCCCTTAGTATTGTTAATTTGAACATCAACTCTGAGATGCAGGTACATCCAGCTGATGAGTCTCAGATGAAACGAAACGCGCGTCTTGGATTTCACCGCTAGCTGCTATCGATCTTTACTTATAGTCATTTAGTTTGTTTAGTGATTTGAAACTGCTATACATTTTAATGTAAATTAGGAATGTAGTAAGAATTTCCATAGTTTGTATGATCAAGATTCATCTTTAAAAAAGAAATCAATACTAGATCAACATATACGATCTTTAAATTTCATACCTTTATTCAAATAATTGACAATCGACATAGTAACTCAGGTTTCTATTTGACACGAAAACAGAGGAAAGACATTCATTATGTGATTGGGATTAAGTCTGTGTTTGTAATAGAAATATGCTAATGAAGTGGAATGATGACGAACAATTATTGAAATACAGTTTCTTCTCATAAGGGGTAGTAGTAATGTTATCCAGTAATTAACTCTCCCCGTCATAGAAAATGTTCACTGATAATTTCATATTAGACTATGACGAAATCAATATGCTAAAATATACAAGCGTAACCGAACTATGAACATTTTGGTGGTAATTTGGTTTTCACCAATGACTCTCAACAATTCTCTTAATAGAGAATGTTTAGATAAAATATACTGAGAGTCAATGATGTGACTTATGCTGATTACGATATGTTAATTTAGAGAAACTCATATTTCCTTGCATGCTCAAGTTTACTTCATTTGTCAAGTCTCCCCATAATGTTAGCATTTGGCAACTCTACAGCCGACCGATAACTTTTTAAGGCTAAACCAAACTTTATTAGTGTTTGTATTTAAGGCGATAAATAGGGTGTATTGCAGTTCTTAAAAAGTTTGGTATTAATGAGACTTTTTTCAGTGAGTGAGGAGGATTACGTCGTAAATTCCCCTAAGGTTTCCACCGAAGGCCTAACGAAGAACTCATTTGTCATTTATAGGGAGTCCGTGCAATACTCAAATAGTTTGTTTGCAGTTTTATTGTTTATCTGCCATTTTTCAAATGTTTGATTAGATGTACTATGTACCTGAATACAAAATACACTGAATGTTACCAAGAGTAACATTACTATACATAGTGAATATGCACCCATCCGACCAATATATTTTAAAATATAAGTACGTATGTTCGTATGTGGTCAACCGGTTGGACTTTCGTCTTTCAGAACATTGAAAACAGACATTTACTTTACTATCTCATAATACCCGTATTTTACTTATGAAAAGTTTGATAGTAACATCACTGATGAAGTCTTTGATAAACCATTCGGTAATTTGAGATTTTAGGTCAAAACACTAATGACTGCTAATAAACCTAAAGCTTTCAACTTGAAGACTACAGATTACTACTAAATGATTATTGTTTACCGACAATTAATATCAAATTGTATGCACTAAGGTACCATACTACTTAGTTCAATAATTCCAATCATAGCCAACTGTTAATGTTTTGTTTATTTATCTATCTATCTATAAGCGAATAAATAAATAGTATGGGCTTTAGATTAAAATATACGAAAGGAGAATTTGCTAAATAATCTTGTTGTTCTGATGGATGGTGCTTTGGAATTCGAAAGAGAAGTTGTTAGCTTCCATTCTTCTTACAAAAGCTGACATTAACGAATTCCCCGTATAAAGGGAAAGTACATCTTACTGATCAATATTCATTATCATCACCCAGCCTCTCTATACATAATAAGATTTGGAAGCTTATATATGATGAGTCCAATCTTCGAAATTACTAACATAGAATGTTACGTCACAAAATGAATGGTTCTGATGAAACAATTTTTCGTTTGAAATGAAGCATATAGATAAAAATTTGTAGTTATATTTACCATAATTTAACTCCGCCTGTAGCTCTTCTAGAGTTACTGCCGGTCCCAAGCCCGGGTAAAGGAGGAGGGTTGGGCATGGGGTTAGCGACCCCATCCCGTAGAAAAGCTAACTCGCTAAAAAAACGCTAACCAGAAAAAATTATTCAAACCATTTAAACTCTGCCTTGGGAGTTGAAGGAATAATGACGTCTCATGATGAAAGCCGAAATTCTTCGGAAGTCACGAGGCCGATGCACCTTCTAACAACCAGAGCAACACTCTTTATAGGTACATGGAACGTCCGGACAATGTGGGAGACAGGAAAGACCAGCCAAATAGCAATGGAAATGAGGAGATACAAATTGGCAGTACTCGGAATCAGCGAAACCCATTGGACACAAACTGGACAACAAAGGCTAGGTACAGGAGAGATGCTGCTGTGCTCCGGTCACGAAGAGGAAAATGCTCCACACACTCAGGGAGTTGCTCTAATACTGTCCAAAGAAGCACAAAATGCACTTGTGGGATGGGAATCTCATGGACCCAGGATAATCAAAGCATCATTCAGAACAAAGAAGCAAGGGATCACAATGAACGTTATCCAATGTTATGCACCCACCAATGATAGCAACGACGATGATAAAGATCAGTTCTATGAAAGGCTGCAATCAATTATAGAGAAGTGCTCACGAAAGGACCTCACAATCCTGATGGGAGATCTAAATGCTAAAGTTGGAGTGGACAACACAGGATATGAAGATATAATCGGACGACATGGACTAGGAGAAAGAAATGAAAATGGGGAGAGACTTGCAAACCTATGTGCTTTCAACAAATTGGTTATAGGCGGCACAATATTCCCACACAAACGCATACACACAGCTACATGGATCTCACCGGACCACACCACAGAGAACCAGATTGATCACATCTGTATCAACAAAAAATTCCGAAGATCAATGGAAGATGTGAGAACCCGGAGAGGAGCTGACATAGCTTCAGATCACCACCTGGTTGTGGCCAAGATGAGACTGAAGCTTAAGAAACACTGGACAACTGGACAAACAGCACTACAAAGGTTTAATACAGCCTTCCTTCGAGATACTGACAAGCTCCATGAATTCAAGATAACTCTCAACAACAGGTTCCAAGCTCTACAGGATCTACTGAAAGAACAAGAAACTACTTTGGAGGACAACTGGAAAGGGATAAAAGAAGCACTAACTTCAACGTGTCAGCAGGTTCTTGGTCCTAAGAAGCATCATCACAAGGAATGGATCTCTATGGGAACCCTGGACAAAATTCAAGAAAGGAAGAACAAGAAACTAGCAATTAACAACAGCCGAACACGAGCAGAGAAAGTCAAAGCACAAGCAGACTACGCAGAAGCAAACAGAGAAGTGAAGAAAAGCATTAAAGCCGACAAGCAGAACTACATGGGAGAACTAGCAACGACGGCGGAAAAAGCTGCAAGAGAAGGAAATATGAAACAACTATATGACACAACGAAGAAATTGGCAGGGAGATATAGCAAACCAGAGAGACCAGTCAAAGACAAAGAAGGAAAGACAATCACTGAGATTCAAGAACAGAGGAAAAGATGGGCAGAATACTTCGAGGAACTGCTGAATAGACCAGCCCCATTGAATCCACCGAACATCGAAGCAGCCCACACTGACCTTCCAATAGATATCACTCCACCAACGATCGAAGAAGTCAAGATGGCCATCAGACAAATCAAAAGTGGGAAGGCGGCAGGACCTGACAATATACCAGCAGAAGCACTGAAGTCAGACATTGAAATAACTGCAAATATGCTTCACCTTCTATTCAAGAAGATTTGGGAAGAGGAACAAGTGCCAACGGACTGGAAAGAAGGATATCTCATCAAGATACCAAAGAAAGGAGATCTGAGCCAATGTGAGAATTACAAAGGTATCAGCTTGTTATCAGTACCAGGAAAAGTTTTCAACAGAGTGCTGCTGAATCGGATGAAAGACGCAGTAGACGCCGAACTTAGGGATCATCAGGCTGGATTCCGTAAGGATCGGTCGTGCACAGACTAGATTGCGACACTACGGATCATCGTTGAACAATCAGTCGAGTGGAACTCATCACTATACGTCAACTTTATTGACTATGAGAAGGCGTTTGACAGCGTGGACAGGAGAACATTATGGAAACTTCTTCGACACTATGGAGTTCCTGAAAAGATTGTCAACATTATCCAAAACTCATACGATGGATTACAGTGCAAAGTGGTGCATGGAGGACAGCTGACAGATGCATTTCCAGTAAGGACCGGAGTCAGACAAGGCTGTCTACTCTCCCCATTCCTCTTCCTTCTAGTGATTGACTGGATTATGAAGAATTCGACATCTGAAGGGAAATACGGAATACAATGG